CCACCTTCCTCAGCCTCCCAAAGTGCTGGGATTACAGGCTTGAGCCACCGCGCCCGGCCCGAATTTTTTAAAAAGATATAAAAGACTACATATTTTATGATTCTGTTTACACACCATTTGGTACAGAAAGAAGGGTAGAGTTTGTCTGGAGATGTGGGAGAAGCTTGGGTAATTTTATGGGGTAATAGAAATAGTCCATATATTGATATATAGTGGTGAGGGTTGCACAGCTGTGTGTTTGCCAAAATTCATTGAACTGTATACCTAAAAAGAGTAATTTTGCTTTTTTTCTCAGGACGGTAAAGTCCGTGAAGCGTCGCTGTTACTCCGAGGAGAGATTAGTCGGTAGAGGAGAGGTCGAGGTTAGAGGGGACTGGGAGGCACTTTGCTGTCTTCAATCGAAGTTGAGGGTGCAAAAATGCAGAGTAATAAAACTTTTAACTTGGAGAAGCAAAACCATACTCCAAGAAAGCATCATCAACATCACCACCAGCAGCAGCAACAGCAGCGGCCGCCGCCACCGCCAATACCTGCAGATGGGCAACAGGCCAGCAGCCAAAATGAAGGCTTGAGTATTGACCTGAAGAATTTTAGGAAACCAGGAGAGAAGACCTTCACCCAACGAAGCTGTCTCTTTGTGGGAAATCTTCCTCCCGACATCACCGAGGAAGAAATGAGGAAACTATCTGAGAAATATGGAAAAGCAGGCGAAGTCTTCATTCATAAGGATAAAGGATTTGGCTTTATCCGCTTGGAAACATGAACCCTAGCGGAGATTGCCAACGTGGAGCTGGACAACATGCCACTCCGTGAGAGCAGCTGCGTGTGCGCGTTGCCTACCGTAATGCACCCCTTCCAGTTCCAAAGCTTCCTCAGTGTGTGTCCAACGAACTGCTGGAAGAAGCCTTTTCTGTGTTTGGCCGGTGGAGAGGGCTGTAGTGATTGTGGATGATGGAGGAAGGCCCTCGGGAAAAGGCATCGCTGAGTTCTCAGGGAACCCAGCTGCTCGGAAAGCTCTGGACAGATGCAGTGGAGGCTCCTTCCTGCTAACCACATTTCCTCGTCCTGTGACTGTGGAGCCCTGGGACCAGTTAGATGATGAAAAGGGACTTCCAGAGAAGCTGGTTATAAACAACCAGCAATTTCACAAGGAACGAGAGCAGCCGCCCAGATTTGCACAGCCTGGCTCCTTCTAGTATGAGTGTGCCATGGGCTGGAAGGCACTCGCTGAGATGGAGAAGCGGCAGCAGGACCAGGTGGAACTCAGTGGGACGGAGAAGCGGCAGCAGGACCAGGTAGAACTCAGTGGGACGGAGAAGCAGCAGCAGGACCAGGTGGAACTCGCTGAAATGGAGAAGCGGCAGCAGGACCAGGTGGAACTCGCTGAGGTGGAGAAGCGGCAGCAGGACCAGGTGGAACTCACTGGGATGGAGAAGTGGCAGCAGGACCAGGTGGAACTCGCTGAGATGGAGAAGC